TTCCTCAGAAAATAAAAGCGCATGGATCTGTACCCGCACAATTACGTAGACTAACACAGGTGCAATAATGTTCAAGTTCAGTTGGGACCGGAACGATAGGATAATCCCGTGAACATTCCTTCTTTTGCGTATCGTCGGACCGGGAATTGATAGGTCTGCTTGAGATGCTGAAAAGCCTAAAACAGAGACCACATCACACCCTGTCCAACCAATTACTGCCCACATTTTCCTGCCCAGCAGTCCCTGCCAGGCCGGTTTATGTGAAGTAAAAGAGTGAAGGGTAAACTAAGAAAAAAAGGGAGAATGTCAGCTAAATAATGATAATACCAAGGCGTGAGAAGAAATTTACAAAATAACGATGGGAAAGTTGAAGATACAAGTCGGTTAGGAGAAGGGGAAGGTTTGGTACTGCCACCCAAGAGCATCTAACTGACGCTCGAAACCCTCTACCGTAGACTCCCTAACGACGTGCTCCGGAAGCGAGTTCCAACGTTCAATAACCCGACGCGACAAGCGAGTTTCCGTCCTTACCCGGTCAGAACGCTGTTTGTGCAGCTTCAACGGGTGACCTCGGAGACTAGGCAGCTTGGCGGGACTAAATAGCCAGGACAAGTCTGGACCGATCTTACCCGTTAAGATACGGTAAGTGAGGATCAAGTCTCCTCTAATTCTGCGGTAGTGCATTGAGTACATACCCAAGCTAAGCAAACGTTCGGGATACGTTTGCCCCCGTAACCCCTTGCACTAACCTTGTACCCACTCGCAAAACCCTCTCCAGTTCCATTTTGTCCCTTACAAGACAAGGTGGACAAGCCTGGATACAGTACTCTAATTGGGGTCGCACAAAGCTGAGAACAGCTTCACAAAAATATTGGTCGTTAGGCCACCGAAGGAAGGCGAATAAACCACATCATACGGAACCCTCTACAAGCAGCCTTCCTCCAATTTTCCCCAGAGTGAAGCAATGAGGTATGGGTGATACCTAGATCAACCTGCTGAATGACAACAGAGAGTTCACTTCCACCAACTACATAGCGCGTGGGAGGACTAGCACCTCCAATGCGGAGGACAGAACATTTCGCCTGATTTATAGGCATCAACCATAAGGTTGACCAATCCCAGAGCCTATCCAAGGCACTCTGAAGTGCCTCAGAGCCACCAGGGATATCCACAATATTCCAGAGCTTGAGGTCATCAGCAAACAATAGCGACGGTACTTCAAGCTCCTGGGGTAGGTCATTGACATAAATTGCGAAAAGCAACGGCCCTAGAACCGAGCCCTGCGGAACGCCACTAAGAACAGCTTGTCTAAGCGAAAGGCTACGCCCCACGCGTACACACTGTTCTCTGCCCTCTAGGAAAGCAGAAACCCATTTAAGGGCAGCTTCAGATATCCCATACGATCTCAACTTCAATGAGTCGTTGATGTGGGACAGTATCAAAGGCTTTCGAGAAGTCAACGAAAAGCACGTCGATAGCGTGACCGTTGTCTACTGCCTCAGCCCAGCTTTCACGAGCTACAAGTAAATTTGTCAGACATGAAAAGCCCTTACGGAATCCGTGCTGTGCCGCACTGAGAAGGTTAAACTTAATCAGGTGATTCTCCACCGAATCCCTGACCAATTTTTCAAACAACATAACCGCTACGCTTGTTGAACTGAAAGGTCAATAGTTCGCGGGAAGAACTCTGTCAGGGCCCTTAAAAGTCAGACAGATGATTGCCTTCTTCCATTTCGAAGGCACAGCTGTCGAATGATATTGTAAACATGCATGTCAGAGGGTCACAGCTCAGCGGCCAATTCATGCATCAGCTTCGGATGAATTGAATCAGTGCCAGAAGCTTTGGAAGAATTTAGCCCTTGCAATAGCCCGAAGACCTGTGTCTCCGTTATGTTGATTTCAGTTAGGCAAGAATCCTCCGGGACTTTTGTGACCAGCTCAACCTGAGGTAAAGAGGCCTCACGAGAAAAGACACCAGTATACTGTTCGCTAAGTATACAAGCATTATCATAGTCGGTATGGCCATGGGTCCCGACCGCTCGTAGTAAAGCTGGTATAGACGAGTTTGTACCGCTGCGTCTCTTTACGTAAGCAAAGGACTGGATTTGTTACGGCTGCGTTAGCCAAATCCTCCTCGTACTGAAGACGAAGAGTCCTAAGATGTTGCTTACATTTATTTCTCACCGCTCGATAGCTTTCGTAGGTGCTGGTTGACGAAGCCGCTTGGTAAGTTCACCAGTATTTAGAGCGCTTCCTGAGCAGGTATTTACCCGCATGGTCTATCCAAGGAGGCTGCGCCCGTGTCGCCCGTCTCTTAATTGGTGGGATGTGGGCAGCAGAGATCTCGGTGAGGTATGCCTTAAATTTCTCCCAGGATGTCTCAACGGTGTCAGCCACGGTGATCGCACGACGCAGAAGTGAAGCTTTGTCTCGCATTGCGTTAAAGTCTGCCAGCCAAATATTTGTTCAAGTCTCAGCGGTAGCTTGATGACATTTAGAGCACATCAAAAGGACATGCAGACGGCCACTGGCTCCTAGAGAACAGCCGTATGTAATGTCACTTACGAAATCGTGTGACTTCGCAAAAACGAGATCCAAGGTAGACGGAAGTTGGTTGCTCATACATCTAGTCGGAAGGTCCGCCAACTGATGCAAAGGAAGTTACGTTAGCTCGAGGAGATCCGAACCGAATAAATTCAATAACCTCCCTGGAGATACTTCTAGGACTTCGATATACCACTACAACTGCAAACTGAACAGAGGAAGTGCACACAACAGTCGACAGGGCTTCAACAATTTGATCCGGCAACTGGAACACACAGGTCCTCAACATATCAAGTTTACAACTCATATAAAGGGCGACGCCCCCACCTTGGCGGCCAACAGAGCAATCACATCTAAGCAGTGCGTAGCTAGGTAAATATACTTCACCGTCTGTGATATCCGGGAACAACCACGTTTCGGTGATAGCAAGTATGTCGGGACGAGATTTGTCTACAAGTAGACCCAACTCGTGTACCCTGTTCCTTAGACTACGCACATTAATAAGCACTACCCGAAGGAACTCGGCACGACCAGCCCTGGGTCGTACGCTACCAGGAGGGGTTCTGGTAGAATTTGACTTCCGACTGACAACCTGAAAACTCACAAGACAAGACCATGCTCACCAGCCGCCCGCCTGGTCTTGAGGCTTTTGATGGCTTCCTTTAACTTCAGTCGATCTGCCAGTGGGAGGTCCGGCTGAACGCCGACATTACTACCCTTGAGTTTGAATGCAAAGCGCACTAACGTTTTGCGTTCCTCCGGGGTTCAGAGGACTACACGAAGTAGTCGGGGTCGCGGATTTGGCGTATCTACAGGAAGGTCTCCAATCTGGTTGACTTCCTGATAGTGACGCGGGGGAAACCAGGTGGAGGCATCTTGATAACGCAGAGCTTGAAGCACTGGAGGTCATAGAGCATACGTTCCTTGGGAAGAGCTAAGCGGATTCAGCAACGTTATGAAAGATAACGCTGATATCAGTAAAAAAGATCACCTCGACGAGTCGTATTCACTCCACGAGTCTTTGACTCGACCCCAGTTTCGACCGGTTTGGCAGGTGACATGGCGCGTTTCTTCGCCAAGGGAGCTGGAGTAATTGAGGTTGAAACTTTGTGTTCTACCTCCAACTCCCTCGCCGGTCTAGTCTTTTCCGACTGCGAGTGTGGCCGAAGTCGACACAGCGCGTTTCTTCGCCAATGGAACTGGGGTGATTGGAGTTGGAGCTTTGTGCTTCACCTGAAATACCCTAATGGGTTCAGTGCCTTCAGGCTTTGAGGGAGCCTTACAGACTTTCTTAGCCCTCTCCTTCTTGCTTTTACTAGGTACGGGGGATAGAAGATCGATGTTACCTTGGACGACGTCCAGTACATCAGAGGCCTCGTTAGGGGCATTCTGAACCACTAGGGCACACGACACGGTAACCATCACTTCAGTCGGATTTTCATTGACAGCAATTGAGGTTAGTTGCATGGCTTCCTCCAATGAGCCGACATCAATAGAGACTCCCATATTTTTCATCAGTAACTTAACTTTCCGATCAAGAGATATGAGGAAGGATCACAACTGCTGGTTACCCAGCCCGACGTTGCTCGATGTCTTCTCATTGACCTCAAGACGCGTAGATCGACGGCGACGGCATGGAAGACAATTGAACAGCATGCTATCGCTAGTCGAAAGCATTGCGTACTGATCAGGGCTCAAATCGGTACAGGTCTCATGGTACCAGCAGTTGCATACATAGCACTGCATGCCACCAGACTCGTCCGTCACGGGCTTTGAGCAGCTCATGCTGCCGCATACAGCATTAGATTCGCTGATCAACGCAGCTGAAGACACATCAGCGCCGGTATTCAAGTTCAAGTGGGACCGGAACAGTAGGAAAATCCCGCGAACGTTCCACCTTCGAAAACGTCGTTGATCCAACAGAGAAACCGGTGCCTTGATGTGCCAACCAAACAATGCCCACGTGCACTGAACTAGCAGTCCCCGCTGTGCTGGCCACGTGAAGAATAAAAGAAAACAGTAGTCAGTAATGGAGAGGAAACAAGAGAAGAAAAGCTTATCGAATTTTGTAGGCAATGTTAAGATGTAAGTTAAAATGAGTTAAAGAAGCGTAGGCCGTAGTAGACGAGTAAAGTTTAAGACACAAAGGGGAAGACTTTAAACTGCAGACCGAGAGCGTCGAGTCGATGCTCGAACTCTTTCGCCGTCGGTGCCATCACGACGTATGCAGGCAGTGCGTTCCAATAAGCTATGACCCTGCGCAATAACCGAAAAGCTGCCCAAACCCGGTCAGTGAATCCGACATGACGCTTTCAAAGAGTGTGAAACAAGTAGCAAAACGTAAAACCGACAAGCCGTTGCCTGCAGGGCAGTCAACAGAAACAGTTACGGGTTAAAACAAAGTGCAAAACGGATTACAAAACACAAAAATACCGGGAAAATAGCCAGAGACTAACCCCGAAAAAGAGGGAGAAAAAAAAGGATCATTGGAATGTAGAGAGCAGAAGGAAAAATCCTTTGTCAGCTCCATCGTCTCCCGTTCGTCACAGGGACCAAGGTGGAGGTTGCAAGTCGGTACCAATGGAACCGCTACATTGACACAAGAAGCAACAAGATCCGAGTTTACTCAACAGGTAAGAATCCAAGCGATGTTTGAAACATTTCTCCGGCTGCGCATCAACGAGACAAAGGTAGATTGTTCCATTGGTTCACTGCTCTGGTAGACAGTGACGAAAAAGGTAATAAACATGAGGTAAATTGGAACAAGGGAAGTTACAGTTAACCAATGTCGTATTCTTGTTCTCCTCCGGTAATGGAGCAGGAAAGGCGCTCTGAAAGGCAAACGGGAGAGAGTGCCGTTATAGCAACGATTCAACTTTGAACGCGCGCCAAAACAATATCGATTCTTCTCTACACCACACCCCCTCTAAGCAGGCAGCGTCCCCGTTGCCACCCCATAGCCGCCCTGAGCCGGCACCTCCAGTTCAACTGCTACTTCCCCAGGCGTTTCGTTCGGCCCCTCGACAGATTGGTCAGTTTTTCTCCGGAATGGCTTGAGTCGATTGAAATGTACTGTCATGGGTTGACTGGCAGGGTTGTTGGGATCTTTGATAACACATGTCACATCCGATATCACCCGCTGTATTATGTACGGTCCTGTCCACTCATGGTGTAGCTTAACCGGAACTCCTGCCGTTGGTACCTGGTGCAAGTAAACTTGGTCGCCAGCCTTTAAAGGAGCGCCGAAAACTTTCTTGTCGTAATAGTCTTTCTGTCGTCGATGGGCGTTCCCAAGGTGAATACGTGCTGCTTGATGTGTTTGATGAAGCGAATCAAGGAGTTTGCTAACATACTCTGTCACTGATAAATGTGGCTGTTGCGGACTGGGTAATCGGATGTCAGACGGTAATCGGACTTCTCTCCCGGTCCACATAAAAGATGGTGTTTGACCAGTCGAAGCGTGCACTGTGCTTCGATATGCCAGCAAGCATTTTGGTAACATAGCGTCCCACTCACTTACATTTTGCTCCACAAAGGCCTTCAGTAGCGATTTCAGCGACCGGTTTGTACGCTCAACTTGTCCGTTGCCTTGCGGGTGGTAAGCAGTCGTTCGCGTCTTGTCTATACCGAACACACGACAAAGTTCCTGAACCAGCAAACTCTCGAAACATGAGCCCCTATCAGAATGTAGCTGCCCCGGTGCTCCCCAGTGACACACCCAGTGATTTACCATCGCCGTTGCTACGGTGACTGTATCGGCTTGGGCGATCGGAACTGCTTCGCACCACTTGGTGAAATAGTCGACCATGACCAAGATGTACCGATGGCCACGTGATGTTTCTGGTAGGGGACCAACAAGATCTACTCCCACAATCTCGTTCGGGTAGCCTGCATTCATAGGCTGCAATGGTGCTCTCCTGGTGATGGTCGGATTCTTGAATGTGGCGCATGTCTCACACGTCTGGCAAAAGTTAGTGACGTCTCTCCGTTGGTGTGGCCACCAAAAACGTTGACGTGCTGCCGCTTCCAGTTTGTTGATTCCAGCATGACCCAGCTGTTCGTGCAGTTTAGATAGCACTTCGGAAACTAATGATCGCGGAACTACGATTCTCCTGATATAGTTTGGGCCAAAATCAAACACTAGCACACCTTCCTCGATAGAGAGCTTGTCCCACATCGCCCATAAGCATCGAGCTTCGTAACTTTTTCCCTCCATTTCCTTCGCGGTAGGTTTGTCGCTCCCCAACAGCCGTTTGTCATAGATCGGTGATACGTCTGGATCTGCTGCCTGTGCCTCCTGCCAGCGACCGTACTCCGAACTTTGAAGGTTAACTAGAGCTACGTGTTGTGTACTACAAGACGGGCAGTCTCCATGAGCACGAGTAGGAAGTCTGGAAAGAGCGTCCGCGTTGGCATGCAGTGCACCAGGTCGGTGTCTGCACTCAAAATCATACTCCTGAAGTTGTTCCTGCCAGCTGGCGATCTGTCCCTCGGGGTCTCTGAAATTCTGTAACCAACGAAGTGACTGATGATCTGTTCGTACCAGAAACTTCCTTCCTAATAGGTAGTGTCGGTTTTGTTTTATAAAGAATACTAGGGCTAGCATTTCCTTTCTGGTTGTGCAGTAATTCCGTTCTCTTGCACTGAGACTTCTACTGCTGTACGACACCACTCGTTCTATTCCGTCCTGCCCTTTCTGTGACAAAACAGCTCCAATCGCCTGGTCGCTCGCGTCCGTGTCTAGAATAAACTCCCCGGCATTTGGTGACAGATCGGGGAAAACCAACACCGGAGCTGCACAAAGGGATTCTCGTAACCGATCGAATGAATTTCGACACTCAACGGTCCATTCGAAGGTCTTACCTTTCTGTAACAAGGTATTCAAAGGCGCAGCGATCTCTGAGAACCCTTTCACGAATCGCCGATAGTATGAGGCTAACCCTAAAAAACTGCGTAGTTCATCAACGTTGGCAGGGGTTGGCCATAATCTCACTTGCTCCGTCTTACGAGGGTCAGTACGAATCCCCATCCCCGAAATGACGTGCCCAAGATACGTTACCTCGGTCTGTAGTAAATGGCACTTTGTGGGCTGGAGTTTGAGGCCCACATTTACTAGGCGTGTTAGCACCTCCGCCAAGTTGTTTAGGTGCTCGTCTTTTGTTTTTCCGTGTACAATGACATCGTCCAGGTAAACAAGACACTTGTGGGGCATCAATTCGTGTAACACTTTTTGCATCAGTCGTTGAAAAGTCGCAGGGGCGTTAGAGAGGCCAAAAGGCATGGTCTGGAACTCATAAAAACCTGATGGTACTACAAACGCCGTTTTCGCTCTGTCGCTCTCCTCCACTTCTACTTGCCAGTAGCCAGAAGCCAAATCTAGCGTACTGAAATAAACTGATCCTCCCAGTGCGTCAAATAGATCATCGATCCTGGGGAGGGGAAAAGCGTCTTTTCGAGTAATCTCATTTAATCGTCTATAGTCGACACATAGGCGAAAACCACCATCCTTCTTTTTCACTAGAACAACCGGGGCTGCCCATGGTGAAGTCGAGGGCCGTATTACCTCCTTTTCTATCATGTCATCTATGAGCTTTTGCAATTCAGTCTGCCAATGTAATGGTATGCGTCTTGGGGGGATTTTAATCGGGATTGCATCACCGGTGTCGATACGGTGTTTCACGAGATTGGTTCGACCCAAGTACGGTACTGCGCCATGCAAAATGCGTCTGAGTGGTTGCGCAACACGTCTTTGAGCCGCTTCAGTGTCTGCTCATCTGTGACTCTGTCGAGTGAGCGAATAAAGGCGTTAATGTACTTCTCACTCTCTAAGGTGTCCTCATAGGTTGTAGATGCTTCCAAAGCACCACTTCCACAGGGTTTTAACAAAACTGTACAGTTATCGGTGATTAGTTGGCGCCTGTCCAGATCCAATCGACACTTTAACCGGCGTAACAGATCCATCCCAACAATAACAGCAAACGGAATTTTGTCCGCAACAATAAACTCCTGGGTGAAGATCTGTTTTCGCGACGTCAACTTGTGCGGTTAGGGATCCTCGAACGGACAACAATTCTCCATTGGCGGCAGTTAGTCGGCAGCGACAAGACGCATGTACACGTTCTGCTAGCTGATTAGTCAAACTAGATCTGATTAGGCTCTTACATGCACCTGTGTCGATGAGACCTATCAATGGAACCCCTGCTATCTGTAATTCTATTGCTAATGCTGAATCTGTGGTCGACGCACAAACAATGGCTGGTATAAAGTGTGAATGCGATCGGTGCCACTCACCTGGGCGTCCGTTATTGTAGCGAGGTAGATCACGATTCGGAATTGGTCGGCGGGGCCACCGAGAACCCTGTTGCGTTGGTCGCCATGAGCCTGAATATCTT